TCTGCTCTGCGGCTGTGGTGCTGTGCTGCTGTGCTGCTGTGCGGCTGTGCTGCTCTGCGGCTGTGCGGCTGTGCGGCTGTGCGGCTGTGCGGCTGTGCGGCTGTGCGGCTGTGCGGCTGTGCGGCTGTGCGGCTGTGCGGCTGTGCGGCTGTGCGGCTGTGCGGCTGTGCGGCTGTGCGGCTGTGCGGCTGTGCGGCTGTGCGGCTGTGCGGCTGTGCGGCTGTGCGGCTGTGCGGCTGTGCGGCTGTGCGGCTGTGCGGCTGTGCGGCTGTGCGGCTGTGCGGCTGTGCGGCTGTGCGGCTGTGCGGCTGTGCGGCTGTGCGGCTGTGCGGCTGTGCGGCTGTGCGGCTGTGCGGCTGTGCGGCTGTGCGGCTGTGCTGCTGTGCTGCGGCTGCCGCCTCCCTGCCGCCTGGAGTGTGCCCGCTGGCGAGCGCCTCCTTCCCCACCTCCCCCAGCCCCGGCTCAGCGGCTCTACCTGGCCCCTTGCGTCCCATCCCCAACCCCCGTTACCTCTCCCCGCTTCTCTTCTGTCACCCTCATCTGCTTTCCAAGGCCTGTTTCTGTCTCACGCGTTTGCTGAACTGACCACTCCACTGGGGACCCATGAGTCCCCCTCTGCCACCCTCGATGTTTTCCTCCAAGAGGTTGGTCGAACTTTCTTTCCTTTCCATCCTTCCCTCCCTTCCTTCCTCCCTCTCTCCCGCCTTTCCCCCTTTCTCTCTTGCTCTCCTTTCTTTCTTTCTTTCTTTCTTCCTCTCTCTTTTACTTATTCCCTTACATCTTCTCCAAAGAGAGCTTCAGATAATGCCCTCAGCAGCTGTGAAAACAAGTCGGGCTTGCATTTGGGATCATAGCCAAGAATATAATCAAAGGTAGGGAGGACCCGAGTTGTCTTAGGAAACATGGCAGCCTCTGAGGACCTCACAAAAAAGTGGGACGACTCTTTCAGCCAAGTACATTTTATTTATTTTTTTCTCTCTCAGCTGAGAGGAGCCTAGCCCATTCAGGAAGATGCAAATAACCATCAGGTGGCCTACAGTGGAGACAGGGGACAGAGCACAGGGCTGGCTGTGGGCCAGGACCTGTGAATGGGGCAGAACCTCTGTGAACATTTACCCGATCCATCCCCAGAGAAGGTTGCAAAAAACAGAGCTGGAAAAATAGAAGGGTAGATGGAATAGTTAGGGAGGAGGACAACTTATACGCAGGAAAAGGAGGGAACTGAAGGGAGAAGTAATATCCTTAGGAAAAGGGAGGAGTTGATGGGGAGTGAATGATAGAAATAAATATCCCTCCAGGAGGGCTTGCCAGGTGTGAGGGCGCAACTAGCCTTGATGTTTGAAAGGACAATGAAGCAGCAATATTCTAGGACTGGGCACCAGCAGAGAAAGCAGGAGTGAGGGAGCTGGGGACATGGCTGTAGGGTGTGAGTTCACCATGAGGTGAGAAACAGTTTTCTTGTGGGGTCCTCGATGTGTCCAGGGAACAGGGAGAAGCAGGGTGCCCAGAGAGGAGCCAGACCTGGGCCAGTGGGAGGCAGTGTCTTGCAGAGTTGTCAGATGCCTCTCTGATTCAGGCCAGCATACAGGTCCCTCTGGCCTTTACGGATGGGCTGGGGGTGGAATAGAGAGGGGGTGATCAGTAGGGTGGGAGGAAGTACCTCCTAAGAAAGAAAAGACACTGAAGATCGAGGCTTTAGTGCAGTGGAAAGAACTTTGGACTTGGACGCAGGAGGCAGGTCCAAATTCTAACTTGGCATGGACAGACAGGGGACTTCAGCCTGTCCCCTGTTTCTGTGAGCCTCATCTTTCCATCTCAAAAATGGGAATCTAAAGACCCACCTCTCAGGGCTTTTCTCAGGGTTAAATGAAGTCACTCATGCAAAAATAAATAGCAGCTGATTGGCTGGTGCTCAAATAAGTAGATATCTGTTGAGTTTATCCAGATGTGATATTCAAAATATTTAACAACTAGTAGTGCACCCATACTATCCAATTAGAACAGTCCTGGTGGTCCTCTGCTATGCCAGGCGTTAACTCTTTAGTTACCCTAAATCAAGAGGTAGCCCATGGGGGAGGGGCTGTGATGTCTGGCAGTGTGTGTGAAGGGTGGGGCAGAATGGAGGAGGCGTGGGGCTATTTGCCAATGAAGGATTTTAATATTTTAATAAGTGATAAGTCTGTACTGGTGCATGCTGGTGGACATGAGTCCTGAATTTACTGTGTTAGAATCTGCATATATGGTATTCTGATGGCTGTATCTCAGCCAATGAACAGGCTCGAGAAAGAGGATGGTGTGTTACTCCCCCTCCCCCCACCTCTCCGTGGTTGTGGAAACCATGCAGCCTTGGAGATGGTCCTGTTCTACCATGAAGGAGGCAGAGTGGCACATGGTGTGTTGTCCTGGGAGCCCTCAGTGAGGGTCTGTGAAGTATCTGGTAGACAAAATGGACAATCCCACCTGTTCCCAACTCCCCCCAGAAGACCCTCCCCTGCTTCCTGGCCCACTCTGTCCCCTGTTACCTCATAGTCTGGGTTTGGAACAGGTGGTGGCCTCTCCTTGTTTTGTCCTGCAAAGGTGGGGGGGGGGAAGCATTTGTTTTCATGAGGGAATGTCAATCTTACAGCACTGACTGTGGCAATGAGACCTGGCTCAAGACCTGGCAAACCTCTTTGTTTTCTCCTCTACTTCTCCCTGTTCCCATCTCAGCCACCCTTTCTCTTTCCTTCCTTTCATCCCATCTCCCAGGACCCCCACACTGTTCTCATCATTATCTGACTTTCCTCAGCTCAAGGTCCTTCCATTGTTTCTTTCCAAGGGGGAAGGAAGAGGGAAAGGCAGGAACTAACAACCCAGAGTCTCTCTTCCCACAGCTCGGGGATGGAATCTGATTATTCCAGAGCACTGACAGGCATTTGAGGAAGCCCATCACCTTAATAAACTTTTTCTAGGGTGGGAAGGAGAGGAGTGATCTGAGATTTGAAACCTTCCTGAGATCTTAGCATCACAGTGAATGTTCTATAGAAGCTGTTTTGACCTAGCTGTGGACTTGCTCCCCACCCTGGCCCAGGCAGGACATCCCCCTTGGCAGGAATCTCCTCCCACCCAACTCCACGGTCTTACCTCTGGGCCTGTTACCAGCACCTGCTCCTCGAGTCACAGGCTTGGCGCTGGCCTTTTTATTCTTGCTCCGGTAATAAACCAGCATCAGCAAGCCCAGAGTGATGCAGATGTCAACTATGATAATTGTGGCCACTGCCATTGGATCGACCTCAATGCAGTTCTCACACACTGCGGGGGATGGGGATGGGGAGAAGAGGAGGAATCACCAGGAAAGGAAAACACCAGGACATGGGGATGAGGAAGGAACAAACGAAAGTGACCGTCCCCTCAATACTCACATGCTTGCCATGGCCAGTCCTCCCTTTCAATATGTTTATAACAACAACAAGAAGCAAAGTGTGGGGGTTGTGGATCAAGACTCTGGAGTCAAACAGTCCTGGGTTCAAGGCCCAGATTTATTGCTCACCAGCTGTGAGAATCATGAAATGTATTTTCAACTCAAAAAGCCTCTTTTTCCTCATCTAAGAAATGGGAATAAAATAGTACTTAACTCATGTGGTTGTTGAGAGGATCACATGAAAAAATATCTGGCAAGTGTTTGGTACAGCGCTTGGAACTTAATAAGCACTCAATAAATGTTAGCTATATTATTATTTTATTAGCATGCTTTAGCCTATGTAACTTTTTGTAGTGGCTTTGAGTCTCCTTTGCAAGTCCTTCTGAAGAATTTATCTCTGGATAAAGCATCAGATAACCTCATACTGGTGTGCCATCATTCTGAGTGTGATACGATGCAAATGACCCAATCCTGTCACTTGGGAAGTTGCTATTTTAGATCTATCACTGACTGAAGTTACCCAGACAGCCCCATATTGGTATTTAACTATATTCCAGAAAATACTGGTGCTGTGTGGCACCAGAGAGCCCCAGGACTGAGTGCAGAAGGAAGTATAAAGATACCAGGGGACTGTGAGTTGGGGTAGGGAAAATAATTGAAAATGCCATTTCGAAATGGTCCTTCCCAGACAACCTCATGGCACTTGCTTTGCAGACTTGTATTACCTCTTGCTCTCAGGTAGAGATGATGTTTCTTCGGCATGTTTTTCATGTAGCAGGCATAATAACCACTGTCCTCCATTTCTGAAAAATTCTCTAGTAATAGCTGCTCCTTATGATGACCGGGTACTTCTATACTATTTTTTTCCCATTGTGTGTCAGGTTCATAGTCTTGAGGACATGTCAGCTCTACTCTGATTCCTGAGATGGAGACTTTATATGCTGGGGAATTGGAGAGAAGAGAATGGAAATAGAAGAGAGACATCAGGAAAACTTCAGAAAAGGCAGATTAGTATCAAAAGAACCAATCAAATGCAGGAAGTCATCGGTCATCTGGGTCTTAGGTTTGCTTGTCAGAGGGGAGCTCTACTGGCTAGAGAGTGGGGAAGAGGGGGACATGTGGGAGGAGGGGGGCTAGAGAACATTTTGAAAGGTGGCTTCAGGGTTTAGGCAGGGACGTGGGGACTTGGGAAGGGGGGATGGATGTAAAGAAAACCCCATAAAAGTCCCTATGTAGAACCTTTCTAAAATGGAGGTTGAAAATGTAATGTTGGAGGATCTCAGTTCTGGGGGTTAATCCCCTCAATCAGTCCCTTCTCCTTTACCCACCAATCTGTACCCCCAGACTGGGCAGAAATAAAAGACCAATAAACTCACTTTTCTGTATAAAATCATATGAAAATAAAAAAAAAGGTAAAAGTGGTAAGAAAATATCCTGGTTTAAGTTTAAATTGTAGGTAAAACTTTCCTAGTGGGACCAGACACTGTCCTCTAAGAATTCCCAAAGAGGAACTCATCATTTAGGGAGCCCCAAGCCTTGAAGGTTAGACATGTGCTTAGCCCATGAGATACGCTCATAGATATAACTCAGATGCATCTAATTGAGAATATACCAGCATGTGCTCCTGGACCCAGACCCACTGAAACTCAGAAAGTCTTAAAGTCCTACAGCTGAAAAATTCTAGGAGTCTTCAAGCTTATCCTTCTGTATTAGCCAGAACCATATTCCAGATACTCATAATATGAGTGGGTCTTCCCAGAGATAAAGACATCTACACTTTTGAATCACTGGTTCTTGGGCTTAAATATTTCTCGTTATTAAGAAATTCTTTCTCTGTTACTAACAGAGTCCTCATAATACAAATCGAACATCTTTCTTCTTATTCCATACAGTTTTCTCTCTCATTGCCTTTAAATGATGTGAAGCACTCTACACATTTTAAGGGAATGCTTCTTCCAATAAAAAGTGACTTGACTTTACATTATCTCTGAGTATAATCAACTCTCGACTATTTTTGTTGGAGGAAGAGACCATTGGTGTGCATGACTGAAATCAACTAATAATCCATTAATGTAATTTGGGGATCCAGTCACATTCCCCACAGCAGTCATTTTTGCCCTGGGATATGGGGCTGGGGGTCCATCCTTGTTTCTTGGAAGACATATGGCTATAACACTAGGCAGCACTTGGCTATGGTAGAGCCTGGACATGACAGCTGGGAGAGGGGAGAGGCAGTGTTGCTCTGAGACAGCATGCTACTGGGGTAAGAGCACGGGACTCAGAGTTAGAAGCCCTGTGTTTGATCCCCAGATCTATCCTAGTCTGTGTGACCAAGGGAAAGTCATTTAACCTCTCTGAGCCTCAATTTCTTCATCAGGGAAATGGAGATAAAACACCCACCTCACAGAGTTTTTGTGAGAGTTAAATGGATTATGAAGGTAAAAGTGGATGGCACATAGCAGGTGCTCAAGAAAAATGTTAGTTCCTTTCCTCCTTTCCTTCTTGGGGTCCTGCTATCCAAGTTCTCTTCTGGAGAACAGAACTGAGCTCTGTCCCAGTTGCTCAGGCAGCCCTCTGGGTGAGAATGCACAGAATGTAAACAAATCATTTTCCAGGCTTTTCCACCTGCTAATAATTGGGAGTTGAGTATAATGGCAATGAATAGTTGATATAATTTTGACTTATAATTTTTCAACACTGATGTTTCCAAGAAATGTTAAATGAACTAGAAATTCTAAATAAAATGATGTAAAAGTAAGTAGACATTATTCTCGACTTGGTATGTTTGTTTGAAAAAGAAATGTAAAGAAAATTGCTCATAATTTTATTGGCATAAATTCAGTAGCAGAGCTTAGACTTATACATGCTTATATGAAGGCCTAGATGTCTATGCTTAGAAATAAGTGTGCTCACAAAGATTTCATAGACATCCAGAGATAGTATTTCATAACTGTTAAGACAATGAGAGCTTTGGTATCATATAAATCTGCTTTTATATCTCTGTGATTGGACTATTTATTTTCTAAGTTTCCTTTGTTTCCTTATTGGTAGAACAGGGATGTTAAAAGAATAAAATGAGGAAATTCAGATAAAATATTTAGGGCAATACCTAGAACATACATGCTTAATAGACTTTAATACTTATTATCTATAGTCTCTGTGCTTTCCATGTAATCATAGCTAAAATTTACCTACTGCCTTCTGTATGTCAGATAATTTTCCACGTGCCATAAATGAGTTACTCATTCAATCCTCATAGCAACCCTACAAGCTGAGTATCATTATTATTTCCATTTTATACATTATGATGCTATGGCACAGAGAAGTTAAGTAAATTATTCAAAGAAACCCAGTACGTAGAGAGTTGAGCCAAGATTTAAACACAGCAGTCTAGCTTCAGAGTTAGACTTGGAACCCCACACTATACAGCTTTATTTCTTCTGCCTAAAATATTCTTCTTCCCTAAAATACAAGCTCATCCTGGAAAACTCAGCTCAAGAATTACCTACTGCAGGGAACCTTCCCCAACTACACTCTGTAGAGTTATCCCTCCTTCCTTTATGCTTCATTTTACTCTGTATCTACCCACATCACAGCATGCAACATACTATATTATCAATTATTTGTCTCTCACCAAGACCATCAGCTTCTTGAAGGGATGGAATTGGCAATGCATCACATATTCGTTTACTTATTCATTCAAAAATATTCATTGAGGACCTACTATGTGCCAGACACTGGGCCAGGCGAGACATGGTCTCTGCCTTCAAAGATCTCATGGTTTCTACAGAAATGCATGGTAGCTCTAACCCACACCCACATGTGTATTCTTCCCTGAACATACGTGCATAGCTACAATCATGACATGACAGCTAGCAACAAATACAGGCATATCTCACACAGATCCTACTGAAAGATAATTGTGTTTTCCCTCTAATAGTTCTAGTTCTCACTGTTTATTATGGTGATTGTCCACTATGACCATTTTCTCCACATTTGAAAAGAAGTCATATAGAGTGAAAATCCTCTTACCATATTCTTCACCCTCTGAAAAGGAAACGATAAGAAGCCATTAGTAATATTCCCATTAGCAACTAAGATCAGACCCTGCCCTCCTGGGTTAGGACTCTTCCTTCAACTTTTAGAAAACAATGGATCTTCAAATTCTCTTGGCTGTATATGAAAAGCTGGTTGGGGCCTTACATCCTACATTAAGTATCTGATGACTATTTACAAAAATGGCTCCTAAGGACACTACAAATTAGGCAGTGCAGCAGAATATAGACTGGCACAGTGGTTGCCTTTAAACACAACATTAGTTCACTCAGTTTGGAGGAGCTGATTCAACAGAGAGGCTTCCAATATTGAGACACTCCTGACTCTACTGCTGTGATTGAGAAAGTAAGTCCAGGCCAGGCACACTCATATGCACATGCACACACATGAACACACATGTACACACATATTCAGAGTATTCAGACATGCAATTCGGAATGTGCACCCAAATGTTGCCCCACAGGCTTATCCAGTGTAACCCCGTACGTGCATTCTGGCCATGTACCCTCTACAAAATCTCACATCAAATATGAAATGCAAACAAGTGGAAACTGTTGGCACTTTCAACTTAATTTAACAATCTCAATTTTTCTTTTGAATAGTTAAGACTCATTATTTCCTATGATCTCTGTTGTTTCCCTCTTCTGGGCAAGAAATGTCTCTAGACTTTTGAGGAGAAGGCAAAGGAGGAGATGGTCTCTGTGGAAGCTCTGTGGGAGGCCTAGAGAAAGCTCCACTCATGAACACAAAATATGCTGGGCTGATTTCATAACAAAGAAAGAAAGCATATCTCACCTTCTTGTCCCCAAGCGCCAACTAGAAAATAAATAATAAGGAAGAAAAAGTTAGTAAATGTTGTGGGTGCCTGCAATTCCAAACAGAAAAAGGGCTGTGGTCCAGTCTGACCATTTATGAACATCTAAAATCCTTCCCAACCACCTCTAGATCACAGTCATTTCTATACCTCAGAAAAGTGACACCTACTGTTGGGTTTTGACTAAAGAGCTCCTGGTCAATTTGGGAGGAAGCAGCAAAGGAGCATCTAGCATTAAACATGAACACACAATATTTGACAAGCAGAGATAAGAAAAAGTTGGGGCTGCTTTTTGGACAACTGAAGAAATAGCAAAGGAATTTTGTAACCACGCCTCCATTTTGAAAATTGGTCTCTGTGGAAGAAAAACAAGCTCTTGGTTGTGTACAAATGCTGGGATTCTTGTTTCATCTCTGGCTCCTGCTTGTCTGATGGTTCATTTTTTCCATTTGTTTTTTGCTTGAGACGGAGATGGAAATATTTAAAACCCTGATTACTCATCTGCTAGAGTCTGTGTTGAAGAGACTGATCACTTTTCCACTGGGCCCTCCAGAGTCCCTCACTCTGCAATAACTTGATTCATTACAGTGACCGGCTTCCCTGGCATTGCCTTAAAGTTTTCTGTATACCCAGACCTTTCTTTTACCAATAGCCTCTACATTGGGTGAGACACTCTCACCACCATCTTATCCCCAGAGCAGCTTGAGCACATTCTCGCGATGCCAAATTTCTAAGGGAGCTTGGGTCTTTTAGAGTCTTTCTTTCTTTTTTAAGGAAAAGCATACTTTATACCATAGGCCTCTAAGAAACGCCTGGCTACTCCCTGTGAGAGTCACACCCTGCCCCTTGCTACTCAATGTGTTCCCTGGACCAGTAGCAGATTCCTAAACTTGAGAGCTTATTAGACATCCAGAATTGCAGTCCCCACACCAGGCCTACTAAAGCAGATGCTGCATTTTAACAAGATCCCCAGGTTATTTGTGTGCACATTCAAGCTCGAGAAACCCAAGACGAAGCAGGAAGTGAAGACATCATGGCTGTGGCTCTGAGATAGGAGCCTCAGCTGTGATAGCATTTTCTAGGTCTTTGAAATTAATAAAACCATCATGAGCCATTTTGCCTACCAGCACAGGCTTGTAGACAGACAATCCTGGTTTCCCAGATCAGCTTTAACACTTGCTGTTTGGTTTTAAACAAGTTACTTAATTTTGAGTATCAATTTCTTCATTTGTAAAATCGGGGATACAACACCTCTTTTCCAAGACGCAGGTAAGGATTCAATCACTTAACACATGTAAAGAATTTTTTCTCTACATAGTATCTGGTACTCAGTAAATAGAAGCTTTTTTTTGGCATTATTTATCTCATACAAGACATGAAAATGCTCTTGGTTATTTACCAATTTATGGGTCTGGCTGGTTAGCTCCATTGGTTAGAGCGTGGTGCTGATAAGGCCAAGGTCCAGGGTTCAATCCCTGTACTGGCCAGCCACCAAACAAACAAAACAACAACAAAACATTATTTACCAATTTATATGCCACCTTACTTCAAAAAGGACTAAACTAATCGAAAGATCTTGGTCATCTGAAAAGGACAGAAAATTACGAGGTGTTTTATTGTCTCAAGGATACTGAACTTACTATATATGCTCTGTGCAGAGTTTGGGCTCAACTATTTGGTCTCCCAAACAAGAGGAGTAGCTTAGCTCTTCTAATCTCTTTTGTGTTTGTTCTTGAGGGCTGGGGTAAGTTCACTGACAGAATGAGCTTGTTCTCAGAGACAGAGAGACCTCTTTGCTCCCAATAGATATGATCATCCCAACTGCTTTTCTTTGGCTGTTCTCTGAACAGTCTCCCACGCCTCTGGGGCATATCTTTTTTGTTAGCTTCAAGCCCTCATTCCCTCCGCTAACATAGCACAAACAGTTCCTTACATCTGGTAACTGAGGCTCCTTGCTACCACTGGGCAGCACAAGGTAGGGCTGTGAGCCTTCCAATGGTCTGGAGAAACACCACCCCCTTTCACTCCATCCTTTTCACCTGACAAGAGGCAGAGTCCCAGAACTCTCCAGAGAGCGGCCGACTGCATCCTTCTCTGGCTGGACGCTTACTCTACTAAGATGGCGGAGACGAGTCAGCTTATTACTTCTGAAAAAGAAACCAGAGTACTTTTTCAAAACATCTGCTAGAGATGAGCACCCTGGGGCCATTGCTGTCAATGCTAGGGTTAAAAGGGGGGCTTTATAAGAGGGAGACTCACCATTTTCTGAAGTAAGAAGCTGAGGCTGGGAGGGGAGGCAGGTTTCTGAACCCCACACAGGAAGCGTAAAGGGGCCTCTGAGCCTGTGGGTTCTACGTCACTTGGAAACGTTCAAGGAAGAGGCCTCCACCTGGGTTGGCTGAGGACAGCTGGGTCTCACAGTCTTCCCATAACGACAAGCAAGAGGACTCTGGCAAAACCTGAAGGTGCTATGAAGAACACTTGCCATTTAGCTCTCTGGGCCATGTACAATATTCCTCCACGTTGTAGGCTTCTTTCTCAGATACCACTTCCTTTGCTCATAAGCAGTGACAGGAAAAGACAGGAGCACTGAATATTTGCTTTATGACGTTCCTGGCATGGTGCAGCCATCTTACTAACAAAAGCTGTGGGCTTGAAAATACATGTTGGTTTAAAGCCAAGACATGCTGTTCTTTGAACCTATAATCTTTACAAAAGCATTTAAAACAATACTAGATGTTGGAAAGGGTAAAGAGGGGTAGTGTCAAAATCTGTTGGTGTGAGTGTGAATTGATAAAGCCTTTATTTTTAAGTACGTATTAATCAAATGCTTACTATGTCCCAGCACTGTGCTAAGTGCTTTACCAACATATCTCATTAATCCTCAAAACAACCCTCTAAGGTAGGTATCATTTTTATCCCCATTTCATACTTGAGCAAACTAAGGCTCAGACAGGTTATCTAATTTGTTATAGATTACAGAGTTGGGACTTTAGAAAACATTTTTAGCAGAATTCACTTATTTAGTAAACATTTAACAGTTACTGTGATGTAGTTTTGTGCTGGGTGCTGGTAAAACAGCAGTAACAAGCTAGATAGTCCTTGTGGATGAAGAAAGGAAATGGAGACGTTACACAGGTAACTTCAGGAGAGAGAAAGAAGACATAGACGTGCTGTGGGAGTGATAGAAGGGGTCCCAAGATAGTCTGGGGAGTATAGAAGGTCTCCCTGTGCAGGTGACCTCTAAGCTGAAATCTGATGGGTGAACAGGAGAGAATCTGGTGGAGTGGAGGACAGACAAAGTATTCTAGACAGAGGGAGCAGCGTGTTTAAAGCCCAGGAGGAGGAGAGAAACAGAAAGTACAGGTGAGCAGGTAACAGAGTGAGAAGAAGTGGCAAGAAATAAGATGGGAAACTCAGCAGGGGCCAGATGGAGAAGGATTGTAAAGCGAGGGCTAGGGCTCACAGACCCCTCGAGCCCGTTGTCCAGACTGGGTCGCAAACCCTCCACACGCAGGTCTACAAGCTAGGTGATAGGAAAAGGCCCTGGGAGCCATGGGTGAAGAAATAACAGGCTTTATTCAGAGCTAGGAGCTGCCACCCTAGTGACTTCCCGGAGTGTCCGGAGCACCAGGTATCAGAGCCCTTAGTTCTTTATACTTAAGTCCATAACCCAGGACACCTGGGTGCACTTGCACAATTACATTAAGAACACCTGGGCGCACATGCATATTTACGTTAGATGCTTGGCAAGATTCTGAACATCTGAGGGGCCCAGACCATTTTTCTACATTTTCCCAGCAGGGATTTACAAGTAAAGTTAAGGATTCTTAAAGATTTTCTAAGGGCTGTGGGAAGCAGCTGAAGTGTTTAAAACAGGTGAGTGACAGTATCGGATTCTTGAAGTTTTTACATAGACATGCCAACCCCTAATAGTGAAATGAAAAAAAATAAATAAATAAATTTTTAAATGAAAAAGTTTTAATTATGAAAGTAATAGTGTACATGATAAAAACAACAGAGTGCAAGGTGTATACCCAAAGGAATGAAAATCATCACGTCAAAGGGATACCCGCACTCCCATGTTTATTGCAGCTCTATTTACAATAGCCAAACGTTGGAACCAACCTAAATGTCCATCGATGGATAACTGGATAAGGAAAATGTGGTATATATACACAATGGAACACTACTCAGCCATAAAAATGAATGAAATTCTGCCATTTGCAACAACATGAATGAACTTAGAGAAAATGATGTTAAGTGAAATAAATCAGGCACGGAAAGAGAAATACCACCTGTCCTCACTCATAAGTGTGAGCTAAAAAATAAACCAAAAAAAGAAAGATACAATAATCACAATAATTTGTTGAACTTTCAAAAAGAGAGAACGGAACTGAGGCCACCAGGGGTGGGAAAGTGGGGGGGAGGGGTTAATGAGAAACTGGTAAAGGGCCACAAAAAATGATTACATTGTGTCGTGATAAATACAGTAATGATCCTGATTTGAGGATCATGTAAAAAAAAAAAAGAAAAACAATTGCTATAATGGTTATTATTGGGACAATAAATGAAATTTGAATATGGGTTGGTGCAGTATGTATCAATGTGAAATTTTCTAAATTAAAAACAAACAAAGAAACAGAGTACAGAAGGGCTATGTAACAACAGCCCCCTGGCCAACTTCTCCTTGCTGCTATGCTTCTCCCTAGAGAAAATCACTTTTAACTTTTAAGCTGTTTTTTTTTTTTTTTCTGGTGGTTATGTTCTTGTCTCTAAATGTGCATTGTCATCACGTGGGTTCTCTGGGAAACAAACTTTGAGATGGAGACGTGTGTGCAGGTGGCCCACTGAGGGTGTGCAGGAACACCTGGGAGGGAGGGAGGGAAGCAGGATGGGCAAAGAGAAAGGGAACTACTGTGGGATGTGGTAGCCACAGAGGCCTCAGCCAGTTCCACGGGGAGTTCTCATGTTGCTGTGACCCTTCAGACTTGTCCTGAATTGAGGCAAGGGGCACATCAGCCTGTCATCGGAGGTGAGCTGTTATCCGAGCGCACGTGGTGAAGCAGCCACTTCCGCTGAGGGCAACACCTGTGAAAGGGCTCAACAGTGAGCCCCGCCCGCCCCGGGGACGAGAATCCCTGCAGCCAGGGAGTGAGCAGTCCTGAAGCGGGACCAGGTGGTGCCACCCAGCGTCCACGCAGTTCATCCCTTGTGCTGCTTGGATCCGTTTCATTCACGTAATAATTTCACCCCCTCCTTAACAGCCTTTTCAGGATTCTGGTTGATCTTTTTTCCTGGAGAAGTTTGTAAACAGAAAGCTAGTGGGACAAATTACAGCCCCATTACCACAGCTGTTCTGGGGCTCCCTGTGATAGTCATCACCTCCCTCCTTTGTCACCCGTTCTGGTTGCTCCCAGCCTCAGCCAGCACTTCTTCTGACCTAAGAGGAGACACAGCTTGAGGAGTCTGAGCCACCCCCCCCCCCCCCCCCCCCCCCC